CGGAGCCGTGAGGGCGCGGCCCCCAACCTCCGCCGCGGGGCGGGGGGGCACAGAGCAGGCCTTCGGCCCTCCTGTGGTCTTCTGTAGCGAGACTTTCCTCACCGGGACAGGCTTTGTTAACTAGAGGACTTAACGAGAGAAAAACAGAAACCTGCATGGCTCGGGAGTGCTGCCCAAGCCCCGTGGAGCGGGCGGTACGAACTGCTGCAGCCGGCAGACATCGATTTGGGCGAGGGCGTCGTGCGGGGCAAAAAGTGCCCAAAGTACAAAATGTCCATTTGGTTGTAAGCACGCGGTGCCTGGCGGAGAGACGTCCTCAGCGAGAGCTGCCGGTACTGGCTCAGCTGTGCGGCTGGGCCGCGCTCTGCCCCTGGCTTGCCCCAGCCCGCTGCAAGTGCAGCCGCTGGTGTTGGTGGGGCCCGGCGGCCTCTGCCCCAGCTCCGGTGAGCCCCTGGCACAGCTCGGGGCTCAGTTACTCACCGCCAGGGACAGGCACGAGGGGCACACTGCGAGTGCCTCAACGCTTTCTGAAGAGTCAGCAGCTTTGCCCAGGTAACGAACGCTGTAGTTGTTTGCTCTGAATGATAATATTCTCCTGGAGGAACTGGGTCTGGAAGTGGTTGAATTTGTCCCCTGCAGGTTCAGGGTGTAAACACAACAAGATTCTGCTTAATAGTAATGGGACTGATGTCACACGTGGTTGGGTTTTCCTTGTGTGCTCGCTGTGCCGGGATGCCTGAAGGCGGAGTCCGGCCTTTCGATTTAGGGAAATTTACCATTTACTGTAGCAAACAGCACCAATGTGTAAGAAATAGCACCAGGAAATACAATTAATCAGTGTTAGGAAATGCATCTGTTTCATAGTTGCTTGAAAAAAAAACCCCAACCCTAGCATGTGTTGGAAGCTGTATATTTTACAGCTTTTCATTTTTAGATACAAAAATGTTCTAGTACAAAGGGTATGTAGGATACAGTCAATGGCTACGGAAAAACTTGCTGGTTTGTTATGTTGCAATGAGTAACCTTGAAAACTAATGCAGCTTTCTTCACACTGCATATTTAAATGCCGCCTTAGTTTTGCTAGTTTAGGTAGTTTGCTTCCATGTTTGTATTTATTTATGTTATTAAATGTACAAGGAAAAATAGACTAATGGGTCAGTGAATTGGTAATTGTTACCAGTAATCAACAGCAAGAGGGTGATGTTCATCCTCTAGGTTTGAACTGCACCTTCGAGAGGTGCCAATCTCCAAATTAGTTCTACTTGCTCAGGTCTGTAGTTCTGTAACAGCTGTATTTTTTTTTTAAATATATATTCTGTGCCCTTATTCTAGTGTTCATTGGTAAAAAAAAGCAGATCATTCTCCTTCATTTTTGACAAAGAGCTATGATGTCTTAAGGATAAAGGATGCTATAGATGGTGCATCTAAATGACAATAAATGTCAGTTGTGTCTCAGTAATCCTTGTAACTATTAATTTTAGAGTTAAATTTTTCTGGGGGGCACCTCAAAGGAAAAATCAGCTATTAACAGTGAATGAAGACTGAATAAACATGTTTGTGGTAATAATTACTAATGATTGTCTGCAAAGAGACCTTGAGCTGCTTCCCTACGAATACAAATTTACCTAAACAGGGTGGATCAAGACGCGTTTCCCTGTGCCATAGATCATAAAAAACCATGCTATAAAGAATAAAGATTTTTTCTTTTTTTTTTATTCACAAAGACATTAGTAAGCTGTAATGTATAAATTTGCCAAGTTGAGATTAAAATGTATGTTATACTGAACAGCCAAGTGAGGTCACAGACTACCGTTGCTGAACGACGACACAGTCCCGTGTACGTGTTACACTGTGTGCTCGCGTAGCTCTGCAAGGCTGTGTGTATTGCCTCGGGGCACTTCAGAACTGACATGGAACAGTTTCATTTTGTGACTACAGGAGAACAAAACCTTTAAACCACTTTTGTGGAACAGAACTGTGTCTAAATTATGTTTCTCAGTTTAAAAACTGGAGGTGTTCCGTTCAGCTCGGGGGTGTGTCTGTGTGCATTTCTTTGACGAGTAGCCCCAGGGTATTTACCATGGATCTCCCCAAATACACCCATGAGAACCAACGAGTATTACATTTTCAGCACCATCAAGTATCTCAATTAAATCTCATGTAGAGTTAAACAGTTATTGACCAATCTGAATATACTCAATGTTTCTTATGTCAGTACCAATGTTTTCTTGGTTTGATTCTGGTAAAATAAAAAAATTGACACTGGCAAATGCATAGACAGTATCTCAGGCACTCACAATTAAGGAATTTTACCAGTTTTTAGAGTAGAAATCAATTTGATAAATGTGTAGATGATTCTAATACTCAGGTCTTTAGTTAAAATACTTTTACTTGCTCATAATAGTACCTACAATGAACTAGGTACTATACCAGCAGAGAAGATATGAGGCCCTACTTGGAGCCCTTCGTGGAAAGCTAGGAAAACTGCACCATTACACAAGTCCAATGAAAAGAATTACATACAAATTTTGTATTTAAAAAAAATATTCCCTGGACTCCATTGTGAATTTTGGTGGTTTCTGTACATCAGGCCCTATCACCTGTGCTAAGGAGGCAGCAGTCACCTGTCTGTAAGCTGAGCTACGTGTTCTGGTAGTTCTTTTTGTTTATAATAAACCTGGATTGCCTTGGACTGCCCAAGAGCGGAATATGCTAACAATACTAAAAATAATAAATAGTCGTAACAAGAAAAATGACACTTTCTTAAGGGGGCTTTCACTTGACAATAAATATGACAGCATACAAGTCTCCTTTTTTTTTTTAAGTGTGATCACCAAGGCTGACCCCAAGCTGCTGATGCTGGGTGAGCCAAGAGACACACAGAGTGATCCCTCTGAGACTGCGTGGTGAGCGTGGCACCGTGAGCAGGGCCGCTTACTAGCTCATCTTTCACCGATTATGTAACTTATTGCCAGAATAAATACTACAAATCCAATTTCATGTGACCTATAACAAAACTAAAGACATTTAAAATTAAAATCTTGTCGCTAATCCCAAATATACAAGAGTTACCATGTGAAACACAATGAGAAACCTTAACCACATGTAAAGGACACTGAGAAAAAATTAACTTCCAAAAATACTCTTACGAAGTATTAAACACTGTCTTGGAGCTCCCGACAGAAACTTCAAGGTTAGACTTCAGATGGCGCCACAGGTATGCAGGTGGTGGAGCAGCGCCCAGCGCAGGCTGGCGGGGCTGTTACCTACAACTGTTCAGTGCGATCAGGCTGAGATTGAGGCACGTGGAATACATCTGAGAACTTGCATGAAAATACCTCTCTGGTAACGCGGTGTTTCTGAGCGTGAGGAGATGCACTAGGAGAGACCCCTTGAAAACTGAACCCTGCTCCGCTCTCGCTGAAGGGTTCTGCCCACTTGTACATGGCGGGGTAATGCTGAAGGGTGTGGGCAACCGGTTGCTGATCAGGGCTTGCGCTGTAACTCCAGGACTGTGCTTTTTAGTAAGACATACACTATATGTAGATGCTTTCTGAAAAGATCATACGTTATTTCTGCAATTGTTTGTGTTGGCCGTATCTTTCTAGTTGCAGATGAAAAGGAAGAGGGCATTTCTGTTTACAGAGTGGCATTGTGCTTTAATCTGCTTGGAACAGGTATTTTTTGTTTCTTCTCAGCGTGATCGCTTTCATTTTCTTCAGCCGGGGCTAATGTTTCTGATCCAGATCTGCTACTTTACCTAAGATGACAGGTACGCTTTTACCATCTTCCTAACAAAGAGACAGTCCTTATTTCTTCTTCTGAGCTGGCCACTGCTAATTAAGTCCATCCAATTTATGATTCAAAAAGTTCAGAACTGTTTAATTTGTCTTCTTCATACAGCAAAATATTTTCCATGAGCTTCTTTTTTTGATCATTTATCTTTATTTTCCAAGATGTCTCTCTGGCTAATGCTGAAAAACAAAAAAGCCCAAATATTGAGAAAAAAAAAGTCCATCTATTGTCTAAGGAATAGATGATAATTTTAAAATAAAAAACAAACAAACAACAAACTGTTTTAGGAAAAAAAACTGACAGAAAACCGGAAAACATTTGTAGATTTATTGGTAAAATCATAACCAAGGAGAAAAGATTTACTGAAAAGTAGGAAGAAGAACCTAAGCAATTCTGGAGACGAGTAATGTGTCCCTACTATTCTGATACTAGAGTGCTTTCACAAAAACTTTGTTTATTGTAACAGGAGCATGAGCAGTTTTGCCAGAACAGCTTGAAGATCAAGCTCTGCGCTCACTAATTAGATTTACCTTGGGCAGAACATGAAGAGTCAAGGTCTGCGTTTTTTTGGTGAAAGGTGCTCTGTGCAGTAGACGCTGTTTCCAAGAGGTCAGCGCTTCTGATCCCCGCCGCCTGTCTTTCCTGGAGCCCCTTGGCAGGCTTGTCCTGCTTGAGCCGGTAATCGGGGGCTGCTCTATTTTCCGAATTGTGGCAGCTGTCGCTAGATAGCTCGTCTGCAGATCTGTCGGGAGGATTCCATATAAAACTACTTGACTCATCTGACTCACAGGGGACCCGTGACATCTGCCCGCCGTACATGTCGGGTGACACAACTCCTGTCAGAGGCGTGCACGGATCGGTGCTCGTCAGGATCACTGGCTGTGCGCTGCGCTCTGCATTCTTCCCTGAAGAAGGCACGTCCGTGCTGAGACTGGTTGTCTCATCATCAGTTTCTTCTGGAGTGTTCATGGAGAATCCAGAGGTGCTGCCTCCACAGATGTAATGCTCTCTGAATCTGGTTTTAGCCGTTTCCATCATTTCAAGCACCTGTTTTTAACAACAAAATCTGAGAATGCAGAATAATTCCTGTACCCCTGCTTACACATATTCTCCGATGTCATCGCTCTCAAAAATAAGTAAGGCATGAACGCTGTAGCTTTAGGCCTGGCTGTCAAGAAGACGTGGTCATGCATTTAAAATATTACCTCTGCTATGTTGGAATTCTTCTTTCTCAGACAAAGGCAGATGGCTGAGGCAAAATCGATAGCAACCTCTTCCGGCAAGTGTCCTGCTTTCCTGTCTAGGTATTTACAGCAGATTTCCTTGGCAGCTAGCTTTTCAAAATTTTTTACTTTGGAGTGTGAGCTTTCTTTCGCTGTTTGAATTTCATCAGCAATCATATCTTTCTGTTCAAAGGAAAGAGATCCATTAGTGAAGGCAAAATTAGCATGTTTATTTCTATCTGAATCACTGAGAATATGAGTCTTGCCACATATTTGTTATTATTGCTCCATAATGTCTGGGTTAGGGACCTAAAAGCTTTAAGAATCTCCATTCATGCAACTGACAGAAATGGTTTTTTTCACAAGAGAGAAAAGGCCAAAGGTTTTGTCTGCATGTGGCTAATGTCAGAGCAGACCCAGCTCTTCTGGCTTATGCCCATTTATAGGTGAGAAAAAATAATCAACACTGCCTATAGCAGCATTCTATTCTTGCACAGGCCTTTTCAGGTATTTGCTAAAGAACTCCAAAAGCTAGGATCCTTTATTGCCTGAGCCCATTTGAACATTGCTGAATTGCCTGGAAATAGTGAGTAGGAGTAATTGGTTTCACCTCAAAAGCTCCAACAAGGTGGCAGACGAGGAGCACATCCCACAGAAGGAACATAGGTGGGATCTGTTTTCATGAGAGTGGTGCTAATGGCAGTCAGGGAGCCCGGCCAGTCCTAGTTGCTTGTGAGAGCAGCTTGTGCAGGTCTAATCACAGCTTGGGCAAATTGGCCAGGACAGAAATTCCAGACGCCAGTGCAATACAGAAACACCTGAGAAATGCGATGGTGAGCAACTGCAGTCACCGCCTACCCAGGTTTCCCCATTCAGTTTAGCTCAGAACAGCTCCTTCTGGCACATAACAAACATGCAGCAGCACTTTAGCATAAAGCCTTGTCTCTTAAAGAAACACGTATTTAAACACCAGTTATTTGGAGTATCTCCTGTTATAATCGATTGGGCCAGCACTCCTGAGTGTGCTACGTGAGATGGGAATATATATATCCTGCTTCTACAAAGGCAGGTAGGCTGCTGATGTGAACGGGACCAGGACAGGGCTTCTCCACACCCCTTCTTCAGGATGCGTACAGCAGACTGCAGATAACAGACTTAGTTATATAAAATGAAAATTCATTTTACAACAGCAACCCCGTTCAGTCGTGTTGGTACTTGTTATTCCTGCTTTTTCTCACCAGATAAACAGGGTGTCTTCCTTCATCCAGTGCCTTAATCCCTGTCAGCATCTCTGCTAAGACCTAAAAAGTATATTTGAAAGATAAAAACATTTGTTCAGAATTAATTCTGGTTTTGACAATTAGTTTTGTAACTAAAGAAACACTGAACTGCCAGGGCATTTTGAAATTCCGCTTTTACTTCAGACGGCTTAACAACGCCAGATCTGGGCAATCGTTATGACCCTTCAGATCTACCTCCAGAGGCAAGTCCAAATGTTATAGTTAGGTACAAAAGATATTCTTGAACCAAAGGATGAGAAGAAGATAATTCTAAATCTAGATAAGGAGTCACACTGAACAGAGTAACTTCCATTTAAATGGAAACACCTGGAGATGGGTGACATCATAGTCTATCAATTATTTCAGTTGAAATTCCACATTAACAGGTGATGTTTGTAGCAGTTCATGTGGCAAATCTGCAGAATTCTGAGAACCTAACTGCACTCTTTCTGCTACTCTTTTTTTTTTAAAAAAAATGATCAGCAGTAATAATTATTTTTGCAACAAGAAACAATTTTGTTTCTGTTTTTCACAAGATTCATCTCACTTTGCCACAAACTGAAGTCTATTTGGAGAGTGGACATAATTAAAGACTGGATTTCAATACATTGTACAGTCAGCAACTATGACATGAAATTGCTGGCAAAAGAACTATCTGAGGCATGTGCTCTGACATCCTGTCTGCAAGCACCAAAGAATGCAACGGAACATGGGAAAAAGGCCACGCACCACACCACCGCTGAATAGATCAACTTTTTCTGTTAACTGCCCACGTCTGATAAAATCTTCCGGCAGATAAGTAAGGGAAGCTTGTAGGACTTTGGTTTTCATCATAGCATATTCTGATTTTTTATCTGCAGAATACAGTCGCAGACCTGAATGTCCAAGCTTTGGCGTAAAGTTTTCGTCCAACAAGACATTTGAGCTGTGACAAAGAAAGACAAATAACAATATTGGTCAAGTAATTACTTTAACTCGAGGTAAAGAATTAGAGTTTTACCCTTTTAAAGTCCAGCGCTGAAAGTTTCCAGCATTTGGCCTGCTGTGTATGAATGAAAGGATAAAGAATGGTATAAAGGGAGAGGGGGAAGCACAAGCACTCCAAAAATTACTTCAAAAGAACACACTTCCATAACTTAGAAAAGAGACAGATTAAACGTAAAACGGGAAACACCCTACAGAGCGAGAGACAGCAGAAAGCTACTGCAACTGGATTTCAACATTGTGGAAGCCTGCAGTTGTTACCGGTGTTGGAATGAACAGGTGACCCACGAAGTGCCAAACCCCTCACCTTTTGATATTCCCATGAAGAATTCCAAAATTATGTAAATACTTTATGGCTCGGATGAGCCCTATAGAAATGCTGATTCGCATCTCCCAGGTCAGTGGAGCAGAATCATCCTGCAAGGAAGCGAGGAAAAAAGTAGTATTTTATAGAATAAAAACCCTATAAGACATTAGTAGTTTGGAAAACCAAAGGCTTAGTTTTAGTCCAAATGAAAACTTGTACTGACCTAAATGAAAAGTTTGGTCCAAGGCAGAAACTGGTGGTTTCTAGGCCAAGGAAGGACCCCGTCCTTAACTACTGAGCTGCCCGCTTTGCCTGCCGTAGGACAGTGAGGGAAGGCTGCAGCAAGGCTCATGCTTGTCCAAAGCATCGAGCCCTGGCCATTACTGCAGCGTGGCGCTGGTTTCGATGGATTACTTTCCTGATGTTCCTCTGCCCTGTGACCTCCTCTGCAAATGCTCCTTCAGTGGGTGCGAACACCTCCAATGTTCCCTCTTAAGCCCTTGTAACAATTCATGGCACATGATGCCAATGAATATGATGATGGGTTCTACAGAAACGTATTTCCAAGTGCAATTAGATATTACATTATGAACAGACACATTTTGCAGATTCCTCACTACTTTGGAGGTCTCAAGGCTGCACAGCAGAAACTTCCCGTTGCCCTGATCTGCTGTGCAGCAGCCCTGGGAAAGGGCTGCAGCCTGGCTCGTACTTGCAGTCAAGAGGTTGGGGCACTTTTTTTCCTGGCTGTTTCTCAGAATGTGAAGAGATATGTTTGCTTTTCATACAGGGACAGGACAGGACTTGCAATCACAGACAGAAAATAGACACAGATTATTTGCTTACTTGACACTGCAGTTTGTTTTGTAGCGATCCATTAGACAGATATGGATATATCAGACAGTGCAATCCAGTTTCTACTGAGAAACCCAGCAGCTGCAAGATGTTGACGTGACTACACCTGCAGGCACAGATTAACAAGGATTTGCAAATGAAATAAGAGCAACACAGAAAAAAACATTCCTGAGCAGGAATAAATTCCTAAATTCAAGGCGACTGGGAACTGTGTGCTGCAGCTGGAAGCACAGAACGGCCCTGAGCAGGACGGCAGAAGGCAGAACCTCGCAGCGAAGAGACCTTACAGCAAAGCCCCGTCCCGCGCAGGCAGGAGGGATGCTGAGCTGCAGAAGGAACCCTTCCTCACCCCCGGGGCTGGCAGAGCGGCTGCGTGTGCTCCACAGCGGCCTGCAGCAGTGCTGGGAGCACAGATGGTGCTGCAGTACGGGCCGTGGCAGTGCAGAACCCCCTGTCCCCAGCGCAGCGCAGTGCCCGGGGACAGACGCGTCAGCCTTGAACCGAACAGGGGCAGCAGGCTACGCGCAGGGCACGCACGGACTGCGGGGGAAAGCCAACCGCTTACCGAAAGCAAATCTGTACTTCGGTGTGAAAGAATCTTTGGGTGGAACTCGGGCTTGTACATTCTGTCTGAAAAATGAAAACATGCGAGAGAATGTCAACAGTGACCATTAAGGTGTTGCGCGTACACAGATCTCTCAGCCTGCAGATGACAGGCTGCTTGAGACAACAGGCAAGTATCACTGATGGCAGCTTTGTGTCAGAGACAACAATTAATTGAAAATTAGAACAAAGACCAGTGTAAAAACACCTCTGATCCAATCATCAATGCGGGTAGCTACATAGCAGGCTACTCCCACACACAGAGTTAATAAAACTACCCACATCACGGAAGCAGAGAATCACAGAATGGAGATCATCTGGTCCAGCTGCCCCACCAAAGCAGGTTCGCCTACAGCAGGTCACACAGGAACGTGCCCAGACGGGTTGTGAGTATCTCCAGAGAAGGAGACTCCACAGCCTCTCGTATGCGTTTGCTGAATCTACATTTGTTTACTTTACATCATTTCGTTTTCACCTCTCCTTTTGTGCAGCCATGCTGGTTCCTTGACCACACAATATTACACAACTGCTAATGCTCAAGAGATACAAATAACGTATTTCCTTCAAAGAAAAAGAGAAGGTGGAGTACTTGCCTCTTTCAGTCTTTTGATGACATACACCATGTTGTTCCTCTGACCTTTGTAGACATCTGCAAAAGCACCTTCACAAATTCTGCTCTTGTCACTGAAACCATTTGTGGCATTAGTAACTTCCCTCTGGGTCCACAAAAGACTCCCGCTGGGGAGATCAGTCATTGTCTCCTGCTGAGGAGTAGAAGAGCTGCAGGGCTACACATTTGTAGAAGAAACAAGATTATCTCATGAAAATTCCTAAGCTTTTTCCTCCTTTCAGGTGTCTTATTCTCTTTTCCATTATTTGAGCAGTCACTTTGATTGTTGAAAGAAATTGTGAAAGGTACTGTGCGATCACTTATTAGGGTTTCCCTTTGTAATACCTGCCTTGATGGGCTTTGTTGATGTAAAAATTTTGCATAGTAGAAGAGACTTGAAAACAGTTATCAATTTGCATTTTTACCTTTCCCAGAAAACAGACTCAGTTTTGTTTAAAGGTCCGTGTATTTATTTGAAGTGATGTTAGTATAAGTTACAAAAAATATTAATCTTTATGGCTGGGGCATATATTAAGAAACAGTTGGCTCAGAAAGTAGGGTCCCTCATGATGTATTTATATTCTGGTAGGAACTTCACACCTACTTCTGAAGCAGCTGGTGTCGGTTGCACAATAATTTGTTGCTTCCAGTGTGGCAAGTCCTAATGCCAATTGTTATTACAGTTCCACTGTAGTCTAATCAAGCCGTTTTCACAGCCTTAATGTGCTCCAGGCTTGAGAAAACAAAACATTAACTCCCTCTCAAAAACACTGAAACTACTGCATTCTCTGTAGCAATCTTCTCTTCTGGCTGGTACTCCTGAAACATGTTCTTTTGGAAGAGTTTAAACTCTTAAAACTCAATCTTCTTTAAATAAAAAACCTCAAACAAAATCAACCAAAGAAAACAGGCCAAGACAGAACCATGATGGGACCAGAGCGTGCACATGACTCCAGGAAGCACTCTGAGGACCCACAGGACAGACCTAGCTAGACTATCTTAAGGACAGCAGAGCTGTAGGGAGAAAGGAACAGGAGACTGTGCTGAAATAATTAGGAGCACCAGAAAAGCTGGTCACATTGAGATGCTTAAGCACTGGAACAGGGGCTCAGAGAGGTGATGGAACCTCCATCCTTGGAGATTTTCTATTATCAGCCACAGAAAGCTCTGGGCAACCTGACTTAAATTTGGTACTAGCCCTGTTTTGAGCAGAAACCACATTTGAAGCATAAAATTAAAGAAGTGTGCTATTCTGACTAGTCAGTGGTATATATTGCACTGGCCTGTGATCACACCAGAAATGTGAAGTCCTCCGTAAAATCTATACGGGAAATTCCTTCAACATTAATTGCTATTTGTGGACATGTTACCCATGCAGAGCTATGCAGTATGCAATATTGTTAATTCTTCCCTTCACTGGTTCTTCACTGGCAAAAATTGACATAAATAATCTGTAGCATTACTATTGTATTCAGTCCAAACAAATTGTAATCAGGCCCCACTTTTTCACCAGCTCTATGTTTTAATACAAGTAGAGGGATAAACTTTAATTGAAAAAACACAGAATGTCATAAAGACAATTTTCACTGTTACAATCAATGAGCACTCAAGGGATTTACCTTCACACTTGATGAGACAGGAGGATTTGACTGTAAGGATTTCAAAAGGTCTCTTGGGGGAGGTGGTGGAGAAGGAAGTGAATACAAGGCCCCTTCAGAAACAGCACCTGGAATTGAAATAGCAGGATTGAAAATACACCTTATTTTTGTAATAGCACAGCCAGGGACTAATTAGGAAGGTGTGGGGTATTTTGTGCATTTCCTAACCAGGGGTAATCTGTGACAAGCTGTCACAATGTGAAATACTGTGTGAAGACAGGGAGCTATTTTCCTGGTTCCTCTTTGCAAGATGACTATGCAGACCTCTCTCATCCTGGCTCGGGGACATCGAGCTCCCTACGTCTATACCGTTGGTCAGATGCTCTCCGCGGTCTGTCGCGTGGCTCTGCCTCTCCCTTTCCCAGGCAGAGGGGCCTGCTGACCTGTGCACAGCTTGCTTCTGGCCTAGATTCATTCTGCATGGAGAGAGGGACATGGGGCAGGAAATGTGTGCACTGATCTGGTCTTAGCATGGAGCCATGATGGGACCGGGGTGTTCGCAGAGACCTGGGAAACAGCTTGAGATCCCGAGGATGGATATGATATAGCCAGCACCGCTCGAGGCCAAGAGAGCTATAGGAAGGAGGAACAGAAGGCTGTGGACTAAAGTTAGGAATAAACAGCTCAGGAGACAACAGGGCTGGGAAAAGGGCAAATTTCCAAATGTGACTGTTTTGAAGAGCAATATATTCATTGTGCTGTACTGAAAGTGAATGGGGAGCAGTCTTGTCTATATGGCCATTTCAATGTCAAAGCAAATTCAGAATCTCTTACTTACTACCTGCTGGTGATACTCCCAGATGTGAGGAGTCTGGTGATGGCAACACACTTATCTCGTTTTCTCTCTCTTTATTTTTGTTTTCTATGGGAGTTAAAGATATGTCCTCCTGTTTAGGCGGCTCTACCAGCTCTTCTTTTTCAGAGTTGGCAATATTAGAGGCTGATGTCCCTTCAGAGGAGAACAAAGGAAAGATGAAGATTGTGTGACTCTACTCAGTTATCAGGAAATAAACCTAGTCAGGAAAACAGACTGTAAATTAACATGAACATTAACATGAACATTCAAGCAATTTATTGTTAAATTGCTGGAATGCTATTGGCATTTAAATTCAGACCATATTCATGACATTAACTACTACTGAAAATTAATAAGTGATAGTTTCAAACAATGGTCAGTGATGACAACGCAAAAGATATGTAGTCTCTTACAATACGGAATTAGCAATAATAGTATATTTATTTTGTCATTTTCTATATAACATCATTCAGCCACAGATCTCAAATCACAAATATCTCCCAGCCTAAAGAAGGCATCTAGTTCTTTGTCAGTTGACATGGGACTGAGAGGAGGTTTGACAGAGTTGTATTGGTTTTAGTCAGTTAATATTTTAGGATGATTTTCAGTTGTGTGGTTTTAGTATTATGACCATGCTCATTCCCATAAAACACTTTCCTATATAAAACTATTTGCAATGAAGAATCATAGTTTTATTTACAAACAGAAAGAAAGAAACTGGAGACAATCTAGTGAAAACATAAAAATGGCCAAAGGTCAAGACTGACTGATATATAAGGAAAAATTAAAGTCTGAATTATTGATTCACTACAGCTCTAAAAGATCCTCTGCTGTACACAGCTGAGCAGAATCTCGGAATCAGGCCTGAAAAAGCAACTTGAACTCTGGTTAAAAGAAGTACAAAGATGCTTTCAGCATACAGGGACTTGAAGAGTATGTGCCTCTTAGAGGGAATTATTAAAGTTAGATTAGACTATAGTTAGGATGTAAAAAAAATAAAGTAAACCAAATCAAGATACTGTGATATACAAGGCTGTCAAAATCTCCTGAAGAAGCAGCTGAATTCTTACTCATGAATACATTTCCTCCATCCCTGGAGGTGTTCAAGGAACACAGATGTTGCACTTTGGGACATGGTTCAGTGAGCATGGTGGTGTTGGGTTGACGGTTGGTTGGACTTGATGATCTTAGAGGTCTTTTCCAACCTTTTCTATGATTTAAAACTGAAGTTGAAAAGGAGCTTGGAAATGCCCAGTGTGCACTAGGGATGATATAAGGACTTCTTACAGCCTGATAATCACATTTTCTTGGTTGTAGTTCTAAACTTTTGTTTTTACCTGGCACCTTTTGTCAGCAATACATTTAGCATTTTCTTAAAAATAAAAATTAATGTTTTATTTTTATATGAAATAAAATAAGCACAAGTATTAATACAAGGGGGTTTTGTCATGCTGGTTTATCAGCTTTGTGCCCTAAGCGTGGTGGTGATCTTGCAATCAAAAGCAGCAGGCCCCTGCGTTTGGAATCAGATCATAGCTGGTGTTCTTCTTTGTGGTACAAGCAAAGCACTGGGAGCATCGGAAACAAGCAGGAAGGGGTGTGTTTCGTTTATAATCCATGCTCCTTACAGTAAGCCAACAGTCAGGAGAAGTGTGGAGGAGAAGACAAGCTATGACAGTTTCCATGTACTAAAGGCTGAAGAGTAGGAGCAGATGAAAAGCAATAATGGTAGAAGTGGGCATGTTCACATCAGGCAAGTTTTTTCCTTTGACCTCTGTCTGGGGTTTGTACCCGCTTTCTTCAGTGTCACCTATCAATGCAGGTTTGAATGAAACTAGGTCTTCAAACCAGAACTCAAAAAAATCAGGTCTGTTTCTTTATTGCTGTGTCAGGAAGCTATGAAATGCCAAATTTCAGAGGGTTTCAAAATTAGCTATCAAACAGCCTGCAGGCTTTTAGTCAAAATGAGAGTCCCCATATTCCGCAGTTGTTGGCTTTTCCCTCCTGCACTTTAAGATAGAAGTCTCTAAAATTAGAATCACTTCCGTCTTTCAAATTATTTTTCAGGGTCTTTCATAAATTTTGCAACTTCCTGCACATCAGACAAACAGGTCACCACTGAAGCTGAAGAACTGGCACACACAAAAAATCATTATTGTGGACATCCAGAAGTGGGACTGGAGTAGTGCAAGGAATTGTTGAAGGGAGGTAGAACGCTGCTGGAAGCAATCTGCCAGCAAAACATCTACCCGTGTGTTGCACCTGATTCTTTTAAGTCAGAATGAATAGAATTACGGTGATGTCAGGACCACTTAGTTTTCTAAAGTGCCCGACAGACCAAGCAATGTATTCTCCATATATGCCCAAGAGGAATCACCTGAATAAGTATACTCAGATATAGATTAAAAAAAAAAAAAAAAAGCAGAAATAGAGGTTAAAGACTTCAAAGACTTGTCTAAATCTAAAAAGATCCTGCTAGGAATCACTTCTGCTTATGACTAAGCACACAGGGGAATGCCCCTATTGGGTTAATTCCAGCAAACATTAACTGCTTCCACATGGCAGAACAACAAAATGATCCAGCCTTTCTGCCACTTAAATTAATACCACGTTTTGTGAGGGACTTCAGTATAGAAGACAACTACTTGAAGCTTTTGAAAAAGTTAATTTCATTGTAGTTTTGCGATTTATTGCATTTGAATTGATCTGGGACAAAAATTAATATTGATCATCCAGAAACATGACTAAAAAGTGATCACTCCACAGGATTTGTCTCTTCCAGCCTCTTTTAAATCCTCTTTACCTAGCCTTCGTATTGTTTTACAGAATTCAGAGTCAAAACCAAAATCACTCCTAACTCCTTATGAGCCCTTTGTGGAACAGTCCAATATTGTAGTTCTCCCATCGTCACAGAGCAAATCAGAGACACCAAGGTATGTTAGATCTGGTATATCAGTTCGGTGTCTTACTGAGCTGACTTGAGCGCGTCCATTTCTTGCCATGGTCTCGTAATATTTACTTTCCCCGTTTACCATCTAGCCCACAGAAATCACTATAAAGACCCTGTTCACTTGCATCAGCCAACTACAATTTTTAGAAACCAAGCTTGTCCTTAGAAATCCCAGCCGAAGTGTACTCCTGCAGCCTGGAGGAAGTTGGCTGGGTTTTATTTTTAACAAGGGCAAACCCCTCTGTTTTTGCAGCTTGTGGCAAATGAAGTCCAAAAATTCTCAGAAATGGTTTTGAGAAAGCTCAAAGGAAAAATAAAAAAGTAAATCACAGGGGCAGAAGAGAAAGCAGGTAATCCCCGCCGGTACCAGGCCTGAAGTCATGGGGAGACTGCGCAATACCACTTCAAAGAGAACCAGTCAGACAAACAGCATGACAAGTGTTTCTGCGCAGTGACGATGATTATTTTTGGCTGTGTTTTATCGGTATTTTTAAGGGCAGTGTTGCTGGAAGCTGCTTTTGGATTGGAAGCCTGATTCCTCGCGTTTTACATAACCAGAGAGACAAATCTTACATGGTTCTTTGTGTAAGCAACCTTGTCGGGGGCTTTAAAATGCTGCCTCAGGGTCTGATCCAGTGCCATGTGCTGGCCTTCGTGCACAGGGCCAGGCCTGGTGATCAGAGATCCTCTGGGTTTCCAGGGGGTCATTCTACTGGGTGTGCTGGACATCAGCCTGAATCCAACAATGTGCTTTGCAAGCAACAGCTCTCAGGAACTAAATACACAAAGCTTCTCTTGGAGTGATTTACCACTGCAGTGTGCTGCACTAATCTCGGTTTGACATCTACTCAGGGTCTTGTTTTAAAGGCCTGCAAGAGAAGAGAAGACCCTCTACCTTGGGGTAAAAGCAGCAGCAGCTCAGTTGTTCTAACAGGTAATTTTTCTAAGCTCTTTGAACTCAGCTTTTGCAAAAATGGCAAAATGAACCCACATGGGAAACAAAAGGCATCATACCTGACTGAACAAAACCGGCCACTTCCAGATAAAACGGATTAAAATTATGTTGAAAATTGTTGCTGCTATTATGTAGTGGTAAAAGCATTCAGTAATTTTTCAGTTTCATTTTTTATGTTTCTTGGAAGGAGAATGCAGGTGGGGTTTTTATTAAATCACAGTGTAGAGAGTGGGAGGACAGAAATGTCAATGAACTCTGTAAAGGAATACGCTGAAGTCAGCCAGCCCTAAACAAAGGTGGGCCCCAGGATGTGCTCTGGCAGGGAGAGAAGGCAAGGACTGCACCTCATTAATTAGAGATTAGAGGTGTGGTAGGTTACCTGTGTTATGTAAGAGCACCCAGAAACTCCCTTTCTGGACAGCTGCTGAACACTGAACAGGCACAGAGCAAAAGGGTCATCGTGTCAGGGTCGTCACCCTCTACTCCAGAGTATCCATAAAAATACCATTAGCAGGGCGCCGGGCTTATTGCATTGGTCATACCTGGATCAGACTTACTCAATGTAGATATTAAAAAAAATAAAAAAAATTTTAAAAAAATCAAGATTTAGTTTTCAATCCTGTCCACTCGGAGAGGACCCTCAGAGTCACAGCCACTGTGACTAAATTAACCAATATACAAATTAAAACAGATTTGGGTTCGCTTTCCTGTAGCTTTGTTTCCTTTGCTGTGGAATGAGGTGTAGGAATGGTGACGGTCTCCTAAGCTGAATGCTGTGACCAGGTTCAGTCAGCAAGTGGATCTGCTGAATCAGAGGGCTGCCTGTGGGTGGTGGCAGAATCAGTTACGTTAACTGAGCAGCGCTCTCGTTAGGGTCTGTGGTTATTTGGCTTGATGTACTAATTGCTTGAAGGCTGCTTCTGCTGTAGTACTTAATATTCCTTTTTTTTTTAAAAAAAAAAAAAAGAAAATAGGATTTCAAATACCATTGTTAAAGATTTTTGTTCTGCCATGCAAAAATGAGGGCTAAAAGTCATGCCAATGCCAGGAAACTACAGCAAAACAGCAGTGCCACGCAGAGACACACTGTGGCGAGAAACCCGTGATGCGTTACCGGACTTTCCATGAGAAATGCCTCCAGCGGCTGGGCAGCCGTGCCAGCTGCCCGCTGAGCTGGCG